GTTCACTTGAAAATATGACCAAAAGTTCACCTGAAAATATGACCCTACTTACCCTATGTTCATGTTTTGAATATTTTAAACATTTTTTGCCTTCCTGTTATGACCTGTTATGGCCAAAAGATTAGATTACATAGAAAACAGAATTTTCAACCTCGAAGAGGAGATATAATTAACTTGAATACTCTGTGTGCATTTTAGGAGATCATAATGAAATTAAATTAGAAATCGACAGCAAGAAAAATTATAGAAAATACATAAACACATGTAAATTGAACAATATTCTTTTAAACAAGGAGTGGATCACAGAAGAAATGAAAGGAGAAATTTTAAAATTTCTAGACTCAATTGAGAACAGTGATAAAACATACCAAAATCCCTGGGACAGTATAAAAGCAGTTTTAAGAGGAAAGATTATAGCTTTAAGTGCCTACATCAAAAAAGGAAGTATTCTAAATAAATAATCTAATGCTATAGCAGAATAAAGCTATTCTGAAACCAAATTAACACAGGAAATAATTAAACTCAGAGCCCAAATTAATAAAATGCAAAATCCTTAATAAAATATTAGCAAATAATATTTAAAAACACATTAGGAAGATTGTACACCAGAATCAACTTGGCTTCATTCCAGAGATTCAAGTTTGCTCCAATATACATAAATCAATAAATGTAATTTACATAGGGTCAAGGACAAAAATCACATTATCATCTCAATAGATGAAAAAGCCTTCTACAAAATCAAGCATCCATTCATATTAAAAACACTCGAAAAATTAGATATAGAAGCAAATTACCTCAAATCATAAAGGCTAAATATGACAAACCCAAAGCCAACATCATACTGAATGGAAAAATCTTAAATAATTTCTTCTAAAATCAGGAAAAAACAAGGATATTCAATCTTACCACTCCTATTTAATATTGTTCTTGAAACTCTAGCCAGAGCAATCAGGCAAGAAAAGAAAATTAAAAGATACAAATAGGAAAATAAGAATTCAAATTATTTGTTTGCTGATGACATGATCCTATATTTAGGATCCCTGCCCCTTCTCCTCCCCCTCTCTCTCCCCCTCTCCTCCTGACCCTACCATAAGCTGAGAAGCTTTCTTCCACTGGGCCCTCCCCACTTGATGTGCTGTCTCAACTTGGACCCAGTTACCATTTATGGACTCAGACTTCTGAAACCATAGCCCCCAAATATACTCTTTCTCCTTTAGGTTGTCCTTGTCAGGTATTTTGGTCACAGTGACAGAAAAGCTGTCTAAAACAGAAATAGATATAACTATGGAGATGAAAGACCTCTACTATGAAAAGAATAGAAGACTGAAGAAAGAAATTTAAGAGGACTTCAAAAAGGAAAAAAAAAAAAACTCCCATGTTCTTGCATATGTAGAATTAATATTGTTAAAATGGGCATATTTCCAAAAGCAACATATAGATTCGATGCTTTCCCCATCAAAGTATCAATGGCATTCCAGGATCAGAAAAAAAAAATATTCCTAAACTTCAACTAGAAGAATAAGAGACCCAGAATAGCCAAAGCAGTTCTGAGCAAGAAGAGCAATGCTCATCACAATACCTGATCTCAAATTATTCTACAGAGCTATACTAACAAAACCAGCCTGATACTGGCATCAAACCATACATAGAGATGAATAACCAATCAATAAGTGGGAAAAACATCTAAACAGGCACCTCTCAAGAGAAAATGAATGAAAGGAAAAAAAAACCCACATTCTTGCATAGGTAGAATTAATATTGTTAAAATGGGCATATTATCAAAAGAAACATATAGATTCCTCTCAAGAGAAATAATAATACAAATAGTCTATGAATATATGAAAAATGTTCAATATGCTCATCAATGAGGGAGATGCAAATCAAAACTACACTGAAATTTCATCTCATGCCAGTGAATGGCAATCATAAATAATACAACAATAATTACTGGTAAAGATATGGGGGAAAATGTGCACTTATACATTGTTGGTGGGATTATAAATTAGTATGACACTATGGAGGCAGTATGGAGATTTCTCAAATGATTAGGAAGGAAGCCACCATATAACCCAGCTATTGCACAGTTTGGTAATTGTCCAAAAGATGTAAAATCAGTATGCTTGAGTGATACATTCATACCAATATTTATAGCAGCACAATTCACAATAGCCAAGTTTGAAACCAGCCCAGATGCCATCAACAGATAAATGGATAAAGAAAATTTAGTTTATAAACACAATGGAGTTTTACTCAGCCATAAAGAAGAATGGAATTGATTCATTTGTGGAAAAGTAAATAGGGCTTGAGAATATCAAGGTAAGTGAAATAAACCAGACATAGAAATTCAAGGGTCAAATATTTTCTTTCCTAAGCGGAAGCTGGAGAGAGAGAAGAAATTTAAAAAAATAATAATAAAAGTAAATAGAAGGGAGACAACAGAATAGAGAAAAAGAATCAAAACAGAGGAGGGGAGAGCAGGTGGAAGTATAGGGGAATGAAAACTATCTTATGTCTATGTATGAATATATATGTAACATACTAATTAATTATTAGTAGTATTAATTCATTATTATAAATACTAATTAATTATACTATATAACGTACTAATAAATTACAACAGAAGGGAGATCGGTAGAGTAGTGTAAGCAGATCTGGAGGGAGGAGGGGAGGGAAAAGAAGGTCTTGGGAATGAGATTGATCTAAGTATGTTATGTATACAAGTATGACATATGAATCCTGCTACTGTGTATAATTAGTGTTCCAATAAGAAAATGCACCCAGAAAGAGACGCACAATGAAATAATCAAATGACTTTTGAAAAGTCACCGATCATTCAAAGGGAAATAAAGCCTTCCTTAACAAATAGTACTGGGACAACTGATTTTTTTTAAAGATAAAAATTAGCATTGACTATGCTTATACCTTATGCAAAAATTAATTTAAGACAGATCATAGACCTGATTTTTAGATTATAGCTCTATGTAAAACTCTTACCCACCCCCAAAAAAAAGAGAGAATATCTTTATGACGTGGGCATAAGCAAAGATATTTAGCACAAGGCATAGGAAGCAAAACTATAATGATAACTAATTAAAATAAAAATTCCTTCTTGAGTAGTAAATCACACAAAACTTAATGGCTTCAGGCAACACTTTTATTGCCCCCCAGTGGCTTTAGTCAGGAATTTGGGCCTGGTGTATCTGAGTCCTTCTCTCCAGGACCTCTCACAAGCTGCAATCACAGAGAGGCCTAGGCTGTGGTCATCTACCACCTACCTGGGGAAACACTGATGTCAAGCTCACGTGGTTACCAGAAAGACTGAGCTCTCTGAAGTTTGCAGGACTGAGGTCTGCAGTTCCTTCTTGGCCATTAGCTGGAGGTGACATTCAGTTCCTTGCTACTCAGGTCTCTCCTACATGGCCAAGTGATTCATCAAAGTACACAGGCCAAGAAGACAACGGTGATGGTGCAGGCCAGGTGGATGTCACCACCTTTTGGAAGCTAATTGTGAGAGTAACTTTTAGAAATATATTTATAAGTGTAACAAAGGAATCTGGAATTGGCTCATAATAGCCCCAAGAGGCAGGTGGAAGGGAGAGGCATAAAGGAGAAGTCTTGTTGTGAGTTGATATTTATCAAACTCGTTTTCTTGAATGAGTGTGACCTCTTTTTCCTCAATTAAAACATGAAACATCAAAAATAAACGCGTTACCTCTTTTTGCGGCCAGCGTTACAGAAGCATAATATAATTGCTGTCGCTCAAGAAATTCATCCTTTATTCATCAGGAGCCGCTCTCTCCCACCGGCAACCATCTGCCCCTAATGTGTCTTCATCATTGAGAAACAGGAGAGTCTATTTAAGCAGATTTACTACAAGGCAATATGAGCCCCTGTTTAAGAAATCCTGAATTAGAATACTGGCCCTAGCTATTACTAGGGTCTACTTCTGGACCAACTTATTATAGCTTTCTGTGTCTCAGTTTCCTGACCAATAAAATGGAGACAGCGGTACAGGATGGTTCCTAGAGTTGTTTGAGCATTAAATAGCAGGGTCACTAGTAAACTGCAATCATTATTTGACGCACTCAGTATTTAAAACTACCACATTTTCTGCTGCCTTTCATAGAAATTCAGAGATTCAGAAAAAGGATATTAGGCCAAATGCAACATTTTTACCAACACTCTCTGTACCAAAGCCCCCACCAAGCCCAAATATACTCTGTAATGTTTTCTTCTCGGTATTGAATGCTGATAATTGCCGTATCTAAAACTTGGGGACAGCTCAAATGTTCTTCCAGAACAAAGCTACATTTTACAAGTGGGTGCTGAACCTCTTCCCAGAGATAAGAAGTGGTGGGTGCATTTAATGGGTAATTCATCAGCTTCAAATTGCACAGAAGGAGAGCTCTCCCCTCTGCTGGTATTTTCCTGCATGTAGCCCCATGGCCTTGAACAAAACAAAACAAAATCACAAAGGCTTCAGAGGATCCTATAAATCATTCTTATACTTAATTAAGAAATAGATTTCTCTAGAAGACCCACGTGTAGGGGAAAACTAAGGATGCTCTGAATAGCAATCACAAGAATTTCCCGACAAGAAATGCAACTGTGGGCTTTTAATGGGTTCTGATTGCTTGTCTATTTAATGTAGGGTTTTTTTTTGTATTTTTTGGCAAATTTTCATATAATTAACATATTTGGAAGGGATATTGCCAAGTGAGAGTTCCTTATGAACCATTACAGTTTAATATAGAAGAGCAATTTTTTACACGGACCCTATAACCTGAAAGTATTTCTGCCACTTCTGAAAATGCTGTTGCTTTAAGGCCGAGGCAGGCTGGGACCCAGTTTCATTGTTTGGGCTCTGTACCAGGTTTTGTGAGTCACTGGGCATCTTTGGGAGGTGCTGCCTCCACACAGAGGAGACAGGAACCATTAATGAAGGTAACACCTGGCCATGTTTCCACATCTCTCTTTTTTTTTTTTTTTTTCTGATGCAGGCATCTGGATTTTGGCCCTGTCCATACTAATGTCAGTGATGGGTTCTGAATATCCCCCAAATCCTGAATCTTGTAATGTTCAAGGACCTCGAGGCATCCCAGGTTTACCAGGATTAAGAGGCCCACAAGGTAAGAAACATCCTTCTTCTGCTTTGTACTAGCTTTTCTATCATTTGACAAAATGACTCTATGTCATTAAAGGTCCAAGATGACCAAGATGGACGTGATGCTCACAGCAAACCTCTTGGTTAGAAGGCTGTGGAGCTGGGAAGTTCTAGCTCCTTCTTCACCACTTCTTAACCATAGCTGCATATAAAAATGCTCAACATATGTTTAAAAATTATTTTCTGAACACCAACTACAGTCATGCAAATATTTCAACATACACCAACCCAAACCAAGTGATCCAAAGAAAAATCCACACAACTTCATATTCCAACCAAGCATGCAGGTCACATGAAGAGGCTCAGCCTGGTCCCGAGGCCTAAGTGGAGGGACTCTCTCTGTTTCTTTGGAGTCCAGAGTGAAACAGTGATGGCCACCAGGACCATATGTTTCTTTGGGCAATCCTAGGAGCCTAAGAGGTTGATCACGTGAGGTCCCTTAACACTAAGGTGAGAACTTACACACCATCACTCTATCCTATTTCCATGATCAAAACACTCACATGAACAAGCCAGATTCAATGGCCTTGAAGTAGACTCTACTCACCCTTGGGTACTTCAAGGTCACATGGCAGAGAGGGAGTAAAAGGCTAAGAGCAAGATCCATGCTTCAGGTCTCATAAATCAGACTCTCGGAAAGTGCATTAGGGCATTTGTATTTCTTGGAAGACCCAGGATTATTCTGTCATGCAGGTAGGGTGTCTTTAGAACTGGTGACTCTTGTGGCTTACAGAGTTAAGTAATTTCTCTATGTTTGGAGAGCAAGTTAGTGTATTTGGTATCCAGGGTTTTTAAACAATTAAGATAATAACTTAAAAACTAATATTGCTGGGAACTTTGCCAAGCTGTTTATATAGATCATTTAACTGAATGTTACACATCAGTGTGATGTTATAGAAGAAAAATATGCAACATTGATTTTCACAGCATACAAAAATGTAAAAGAAATGACAGTGATTCTTCCTAGAAATTGTTGAATGAATTTTCCTACATTGGCACAGCTACATGGGCCTTTAGGACACACCCAGAAGTACAATCTTACCATTGGCATGTTCCCTACAATGAGGTTTTGAAGAAAGGCCTGTGTGTGATGGTAGCAAAAACACCAAACCTCCCTGTGCGTCAGTCTCATTTTCTTGAAGATAGGACACATTTCCCAACACAATACATTTCCCATTTCAACCAAGAAAGATTACATGACCTTGAATAAGCAAAATTAAAATGATTAATAAACAGCAAATCTAGGTTAGACATCAGCTCCTCCACTGGGTCTGGTATTGGTGATTAAGGAAGGATCAAAGTTGGGCTGCATATGAATATTTTATCCCATCAGATACCATATCTATGATACTTATACTAGGGTATATGGGCTACATCCAAATATTTATAATTCCTTTATCTATCAGTCTGAGTGATGTCGTGGAAAGTACAGTAAGCCAGAAATCCTGCCATAAACTAGCTGTGTGATTCCACAGAAGTCATTTCACCAGGTTATAAAAAGAAAAGAGAAATTTGGACTTAGGCCAAACAAATCAACTATGTTGCAAAAATGGGTACTTGAGCCTGTAACCCCAGTGACTCAGGAGGTTGAGGCAGGAGGACCTCAAGTTCAGAACCAGCCTCAGCAACATAGTGAGGCCCTAAGCATCTTATCAAGACCCTATCTCAAAAAAAAATAGTAGCTCAGTGGTAAAATGCCCCTGGGTTAAATCCTCAGTACCAAAAAAAAAAAAGTATTTGAATTTTTAAATCCAAAAACAATAATTTTATCAAATTATAGAACAAGGTTATCCATCGATGAAATGCCCTCAAGCACTGCAGTTTACTCTTTTAGTTCACTGTCACCCTAAGAAACATGTTATGGATATAGAAAGCTGTGGAAATACACATTCAAGCAGTAATGTTAAATTTTTCAAGAAGGTCTGATATGGTTAATATTCTAAGGTTTCTTTCTTCTTATTCTGTGACATATGTATTCATTATTCAAGTTTTATACTGCCTAATTTCAGACCTGTGGGTCAATAATAATTCCCATTATTTTAATATTCCATAATTTGATTTTCAATATTAAGCTGATTCTTACTGCATAAGATGCCATGACATAGACCAGTATTTCTAAGAGTTTTGCAACATTCACTATAGATTCTCCCTGCTCTGATATCTTGACTCTTGAGAATTCCTACTTTAAATAGATATTTAACTGAATAGTTGTAAACTAGTTTGGGAAGAGCATCGGGAGATGCTTTTTTCTTATCTTCTCTATCTCCCTCCCTTCTACATTCCTCTCACCTTCTTTCATTTCTTCTTTGTGACCTTTATTCTTTCCTTAGTATATTTAATGAGCAAGGGACAAGAGACAACTCCATGTCAAAAATAATTTCCTAACAATTAGATGCAAATTTTGTATTACAGCCCTCAAGAGACCCACAAAGAGGGAATGTGAACACGTTAAGCAGGTTTGATATCGTAGAGTAATAAGTTCTGTACAACTGTCAGTACAAATGTTGAAGAGAGAGAGATTCCCAGGAGGGTGTAGATGAGAAGGTAATGACTGAGCTGTCCCTAAGAGAATTGATGGAGATGACATGGAAGGCAGCAGGTGGAGGTGGGGAAGGAGCACAAGGCAGAAAACCACTGCTCACAGCGCCTCACTCTGTCTTCTGTTTATCTTGATGTCTAGGACCTCCCGGTATGCCAGGACTACCAGGGATTCCAGGGATACCAGGGCCACAAGGGCCACCAGGAATGTTGAGGGATTGCAATAGCAGACTTACATCGGCCTTTGCAGTGAAGGTAGATGAGCTGCTCCCAGCTCCCTCCCAGCCTGTGATCTTCAAGGAAGCCCTGCATGACTCTCAGGGAATCTTTGATCTGGCCACTGGCGTGTTCACCTGCAGGGTCCCAGGACTCTACCATTTTGGATTTCACATGGAAGCCGTCCAGAGGGCTGTGAAGGTGAGCCTCATGAGAGATGGCACCCAGGTCATGGAGAGAGAAGCAGAGGCCCGGGATGGCTATGAGCACATTTCAGGAACGGCCGTCTTACAGCTGGGAAAGGGAGACAAGGTCTGGCTGGAGAACAAGCTGAACCAAACAGAACTTGAAAGGGGGACCATTCAAACTGTGTTCTCTGGGTTTTTGATTCATGAAAATTAAGAGCCCTGGTTTATATCAGTACTACAACTCCTTCCCTAAGAGGGCCCAACTTCAGAGAGAGAATATTCCTCTTTCTTCTAAGGTCCTCATTTCCTTTCAAAATTACAATCCCAGCACATAAAAACCTGATCCTATGTGATGAGATAAAGTGCTACCCCTGGTTTGATCAGTACACATTGTACACATTTATTGGATTATATTGGATTATAATACTGTATTTCATAAATAAGTACAAATATGATGTTAGTCAAAATACAAGTAAATAATTGAAAAACAGAATGTTCCTTGATGATCGTGTACTTTAAAATTATCATTTGGATGTGAATAAAATACATGACTAATAAGGTGATTTTTAAAGCAGATCACTGAAACTAGGCAATGAACCTCCATTAGGTTGTCCACTAATTCATATTATTTTAAAGTATTTTGGATTTTTTTACCTACATGGGAAAAATTATGTAAACATGAAGCATGGAGATCTTTCAATTTATGGTGCATTAAAAGAAATCTTGCATCTTACTCAAATAGTTAGAAAAAAAAAACTGGAAAGGAGACAACATGAATGATAATACAGTAATAAATCTTTTCACTAGGATTCCTAGGAGACCATGCTCACATCTTGGGTTAAGCAGAGAATTGATCAAAGCATTGCTCTCAAAGGAATAAAAGCATAACTGGGAAGTCCTTAGACTCTAACAGCCTCTAGTTCATGCCCAGAAGTGTGCTAGCCTTTGTGTGAGTGTGCACATGCATGTGTGTGTGCATGTGTGCATGCGTGTGTGCATGCATGTGTGCGTGTGTGCACACATGCACACAGGCACAGTGAATGGAGAAGGATGAAGTCCTGGGGGGAGGCAGAGCCAGCCTCCTCCAGGCTACAGAGCTGCTGGGTGACGATGATCCTGGAGCATGATGCTGCTCCCCCCTCCCCTCTGACCTCCAGCCCTGGCATCTTTCCTCCAAGGCCCTCACTTTCCCCTTCACAATCAAAGAGGAAGGTGGTGATGTAACTATCTCTGTGATAAGTGAATATTGGCTTAAATTACAATAAAAATGCTGATGAATTTTCTCTACTTCTGAGGAGGGAATGAATGGGAAGGAGAGTAGGATTGAAGAAATGCGTCCTGAGTTTCTCCTGTTTCACACTGAATTAGCCGCAACCTGCTGGATGGGAAGCGACTAAGTAAAACACTCTTTCCTAGTTTGGAGGTGGCAGGACCTCTCCAACTTTCCCATCAATATTTTTTTCCTCAGTGAATGTGAGCAATTTCCTCCTCAGAGAAAAGGACCTGACTTCTAGGACTTTCTCCTCCTTTCCTCTATTCCCTATCACACCCCATCAGTAGATTTCAATAATGATTACAACTTAGATTTAATGAGCTTCTAATGCAACAGTAAGTTCTCCTTACATATTACCAAGATCAATAAAGATTATTTCAACCAGGAAATCAATCAATCACTGCTACTTTATTGGTAAGCCACCATGTGCCTAGAACTACACTGCACCCATTATCTATCCATTGCTACATAACAAAGCACCCAAAAACGGAGCAACTAAAAATAACACTAATTTTCCTTAATTTTGCATCTGCAATTCAGGTATGAAGTCTTACTTCTGTCCCACGTGGCTTCAATTAGGTCTGTTAGCCTCATGGATTAAAAAGTCCACCTTGAAGACGGCTTCCTCACAGGCCTGTGAAGTAGTTTCTTTCAGCCAAGAGCTCAGCTGCGCTGTGGGCCAGGGGTTCCCATTCCATTCCTCTTCATGGGCTACCTGGGTTTCCTCATGGCATGGTGACTTGCCGCAGTCTGGCTGGGCACAATCAGGAGCCACTTGTCAAAAGAAACTAACTTTATTTTTAGAACCACACACGCCAAACAAAACAGCCTCTCGGGAAAAACCCTCAGAGCCTCAACTGCCACCACCGGCTTCCCACAAGCCTCTCTCTCCCACACAAGCTTCTCCCCACCTCCCACAATCCTCCTCTCTTGAGGCCGATTGGCTGGGTCACGTGGGCGGAGCCAAAAAAGTCCCCCAATGAGCAGCTCCGTGGTCTGAAAGGGCAGGGAAACAGTCCAATGAGCATCACCTCAGAGGAGCCAATCAGCTAGATGTTGCTGGGGCCGCTGTGAGCCAATCATCAGCCGGCAGCTGGAAGTTTGCTGGCAGCTGGAAGTTTGCTGGGGCCCCTTCGGCTTTGGCTCTCAACAGTGACTGCAATGGTTCCTTTGATCTGTCAGTTTGGAGGGTGTTTGGATGAGATCAAAATTTTAAACTGGTGAACTTTGAGCAGAGCAGATTGCAGTCCAAAATGTGGATTTTCCTCTTCCACGTGGATGACTTGACTAGAACAAAAATGGCAGCCTCCTTTGAATGTGTTAGTCAACTTTTCATCACTGTGATAATCATCTAAGAAAATCAATGTATGGGAGGAAAGATTTATTTTTGCTCAACTTTTGGAGGTTTCAGTCTGTGGTGGTTAGCTCCGTTACTTTGGGCCTTGGTGAAGAGAACATCATGGCTGAAGGGCATGGTGGAGGATATCTGTTTACCTCATGCTTGCTGGGAAGCAGAGAGAAAAGGGCGGGAAGGGTCCAGTGACAAGATATACCCATCCAGGGTTCAGCCTTACTAACCTGCTTTCTCCAGCTTGGTCCTACATCCTCCTACAGTTTCCACCTCCCAATAATGCCACCCAATCATGAATCCATTAACGAACTAAGCCACTGATGAGGTGAGGTTAGATTCCATGATCCATTCACCTCCACAAAGGTCCCACCACTGAACATTGTTGCACTGGGGACAAAGTCTTCAACACATGAGCCTTTGAGGGACATTCCAGATCTAAACATCAGCACCGGGCAAGAGAGAATTCTCTAGCATGTGCAGCTCCTATTTAATCCACCCATCCACATGCAAAACACTCATCTCTTCCTAGAGACATCAAGTTTCATGATGAGAGAGCATTATGTCATCAGCTCAAATTTCAGTAGCTCATTTACATGAGGACCAAGTCCAAGTAAGGCATCTCAAGGACTTTCTTAGAGCTCCTTTTCTTTCCATCTGAAGACCTGTAAGACAGGGAGACAAGTTAACTGGTTCTTACACACCCAACATACAGTGATGGAATAGGATACATACAGTAGACACTTGTGTTCACAAGAGGGAAAACTAGAGACACCCAGACTTAGTGTTCCACAGCCATTTTGATATCCAGACACATGTTGCCAGTTCCTTGATTTGGACTCAGTTCTACTGTCTCAGAATTGTTCCCTGTGGCTTTGTCCACCCCACCTCCCCCACATACACCACCACCATCATCACCATGGCCTCTGAACTCATGGCTCTGCTCTCTGAGTCTTTTCCAAAGGAAAAACAACTTTGCAACCACGTAACTTTCTCAGGATGCTTCCTGGACAAAATCTATAGAGTCCAAAGGACACTTTTCATTTCTCCTCCTATAGTTCAAGCTAATAATATTCTTCAGAACAATTATCTTGAACTACTTGTAAGATTTTTCTGAATCCTATGGGGATGCATTCCCTTTAACAAATTACAACAACCACAAATATTTGGGAGAAAGCTTGAGTTCACTTCATGATTATAATAAGACAATAACCTTTGGATTCTTACATCTTAAAAAGACTTATCTTTGAGGATGTGTAATTCACACATTTAAGATCCTTGGGTGATGCGTTCCCTTAAACAGACCTGTGATGTATTGAATGAACTCTCATTTAATGACCTATTTCAGTTCAGCTTTGCCAAATTTCTACTACTACAGAGTAAGCATCCTCCTTCTTCCAGTTTTATTTTTCCTCCCATTCATTCCTCATCAACATCCCTCTTTAATTTTTTCTGAAACTCTCCCTGAGGACAACCAAGTTTCCACTACTCATTGTTAGACTCTTCTGGCTTCTACCTGTTGCTGGATCTCAAAGTCAGTGTCACACATCTGACATGTTGTTTATTTATGCCACTAAATTTTAGAACACACTTAACATGATTTTTGACACTTCAATATTCATGCTACAATGCTTTGTAGCATGGCATATGAAATATTTTCGAAATTCTTCCATTCTGAAAAGAAGGTGCACTTTGAAGTTGTTGGCTAGAGGACTCTACAAAAATCAATTAGGATGTATTGGCTAATTTTGCTTATCAGTACTTCTGTATTATTACTGGCTTTTTTCTGTTTCTTCTGTTACTGAGAGCAGAGTGTTTGAAACTCAGGTAATATTTATGAATTTGACCATGTCTTCTTGTTATTCTATTACTACTCTATTCCATTTCTAATAGATCTTTTCAGCTGCATACAAATACTGAATTGTTATATTTTCCCAGTGCATTGAGCCTTCAGAGTTGTCGGGAAAGGCGGTCACATACAGTCTGTTGAACCCTTGCTGGGTGGCATACAAATGCACCTTAGGTGTGCACATTTCCTTACCAGGCGATCAGAGCCCATCTGTGCTGGGGTTCAGAATATCTTTCCCTGGTTAGGGTTGGATGTGCACTGCTTTGTTTTGCTTAAGCCACATGTGTTCATGGCCCTCAGGCAGACACCCAGATTTTTATACTTTAGGCCCCAAGAAGAAGATTCTTGGAAATGGAACCATTAGGAGTTAATGAGAGAAAGAGAGAAAGGTATTATTAAGAGTTGGCTCACATGATTATGGAGGCTGAGAAGCCTTAAGAGCTGCAATCTATAAACTTGGGAGAGCTGACAGTATAGTTCAAGCCCAAGTCTAAGGACCTGAGAACCTGAAGAGCCCATGGTGTAAGCTCTGGCCATGTCTGAATCTGAAGTGGGGGAAGACCAAGGCTTCAACTCAAAGACTTTCAGACAGAGAATGAATGCTTTCTTGTCCAGTCTTTTGTTGTCTTCAGGCCTCCCACAGACTGGATAAGTCCAGTACACACACATTGCAGAAGGTCATCTGTCCACTTAATCTATCAATCCAGATGTTAATCTCACACAGTCGCATCTCAAAGAAAAAAACAAAACAGAATAATGTTTAACCAAATATCTGGCCACTCAGTGGCCAGGTCAAGGTAAAAAAACATTAGGCATCATAATTAGTGATACTGTATTTCTTTTAAAATTTTCATCATCTATTATTTCTTTATTTTCTCTCTATAAATATATTTAGACTAATTATTTTTATTTTACTTTTTCCTTGTTTACATTTTGGCTGTAATATCTTTCCTTTTCTTTTCATGGCTATACTGGACATTACAATTAAAAAAGGCCTTGACTGATTACAGGATCTCCCTAAAATAAGAACATTTCCCACTTGCATACAAAGTGAAAATCATATTACAAGTCATCCATTTACCACTCTCTTTAC